TCCTAAAAACCGTTTGTATTGAACCAGAGACAGTCATTTTTATTCTTAAACATGCGACTTGGTTGTCCCTGCGGTACATTCAACTCGACCACCGTTACCTGCTTAGTATTGCTGTTGTCAAAGGACATTAACGTATCGGCCATGATTGGATGCGTGAGCAGGTACCCGGCAGAGATAATCAAATCTACTCCTGAGAACAATAGGGTTGAGTCGGTTGCATTGAATCGGCTAGCCGCTATATATACTTACCGCCGGCCCGCGGCCTTAAGGTTGGCAAGCCTGCCTTGTAATCCGAAAGCATGGGTTCGAGCCTGTGTAGGAACCAGGTCACCCTCTCCTGGTGGTGTTAGCGCGGCATCGAGGCGTCGATACTTCATACCGGTGTACTGCTGATGCCATTTTTATATGCCTACCCATTGCTTATACTCCCCACGTTGAACAGCATGTAGTTCAAGCGGGACTATCATGGGCGTAGCAGTGTGTATTAATAAGTCACTGATCACTAGATTGCATACTATTGGCCTCCTTCTCTTTCACGCCAAGACCCACGCAGTGCACCGTACATTTCATTCGATACTACGCAGTTTGTGTTTTGCTACCGGCGCCAGAGGCCACTTGTTATTGTTTCTAAACCGGACCGTTTGCTTAACGGTTGTGTAAGGCTATGTCGGTTGTGCTATTCACTTGTGATGCTTTTCCTTTGTACGACTGTAGTGTTCGCGTACGAAAGACATCAGAAGTACGCCGGTACGCAGTACCGACGCTTCGTTGCCGCGCAACCACCACCAGTCGTACGTAGGCTAAGATACTGCGAGGGTCGCCCTGCCCCTACGCAGACTCGAACCCGCACCGCCAGATTACAAGACGAGCATGTTACCTTTAGACTATTGGCCGGCGTACACGCAGCATCTTGATCCTGGATGTTTCAGCGCTTCATTAGTGACTACGATCGGAGGCACCCAACTTCGCTGGCATATCTTACATGTCTAAAATGACTTACTGGTTCCTTGTTTTTGATGAGAGACTTATTGTTCGCCAGTAGCATACCAGTGCATGCTTTATAAAATGCTCACTGGATACCAATCTGCGGTTTTTTTTCTATTCCTTTCATATTATCGATTCCGACCCGAAAGTCCATTTTACCTTATTGTCAACTGCACCATTTCCTTTGACCTCAATCATGGAATGTCGGTTTACGGTTGTTGATGCATCGAAATCCAAATTTACTTGATCGTCATTTATGTTACGATGCCGGAAATTTGCTTGTTTTTCAACCAGTTACATACCACCGTCCTACTTGTGTTCTGTGTGTCGTGCGCTCAACTTTGACTGAACGCATCTCTCATTGTCCATCGACCCATGCGCTGCATTCCATTTTGCCGTTACTGCATATCTACTTACAAACCGATGACGTATTCTCTTTTAATTTCTTCTGCTGTGAGTGGGCTAGGTCTTTTCTCTCTTTGCACGCTCACCACAGGCTGTCCGGGAATTATTAGCGTATGAGCTCCGCTTGGGAAATAAGTAGTCTTGAGCAGCCAATGCAGTGGTTGAGTATCCCAGGAAGAAACCTAAGTATTGCGCTTGAAGCAAACAACTGTTTTATATGTATTCATCCTCAGGCTAACTACAGAAATATACGGTGGGATACGTGTGGTTCAGTAGAACGTACATAAATTCGTTATTGATTGGACGAAATTAACACCTTTGGCCGAATACACTTGTTGATTTGGCTAGGAACCGACATCATTGTCATTCGTGTTGTGAGTTTATTCGTCCCTCCCCCTCCCGTTTAGCCTCTTCTTCTAACCGCGATCTCATTTCGCGGGCATAATCCCTTTTTGCGACACAATAGCCGGTTGGTAGCTCTCCGGAACGATGCCCATCTGTTACCGGTGGCTCAGTCGGCCTGCCATTGCATTTTTTCTTTTCTACTGTATTGCGGCCCAATAGCTGTGTTTCTCAACCTCTAGCTAACTTGTATAATGATGAATGATGATGGACAAAATTAAATGGCTATAGTGACGTGCATCAGGTGATTTAGTGATTGAAGGCACCTGGTGCCGTTGAGCATGATCCGATCCGTTTTGGTTGGTCGCTGTCCAAGGTAGTTGCACTGCGTTTCAGAGTCTCTTCTGAATACATAAACTCGGTTTTTTCAATCTGCTGCATAGCGCTTCAGCATTGGCAAGCAGTCGTGCTCCTGACCGGGGAATTATTTGCTGCGGTACTCTATACAGGATTTCAAAAACAGTTCGTTTGTCAACTTGATTCCCTGTGCATATCAAGTGGTTGGTTATTGCACTCAAGTTACCACTATCCCGCTGATTATTGAGCAGATTTGACAAATCTTCCTTGATTCGCGTTTTCAAGTGCCCACTCGTGCGTCTAATGTACCTGTCCCCACAGGAGCAGGTGAACCAGTAGATAACCATGGATTGGAGTTGATCAGGCACTAGAAACCACTGGCGATTTGCGCCTAAAGACAACGTTAAGTTGCGCTACATTAAAAGTCGCGCTGCGAGTTCGTATCAGTCGTCTGGTACATACTTTAGCCGCCATGTCACCCTTAAAAGAAAGTTTGGGAAACAGCTGTTTCTTCTCAACCGTTTGCGCGAGGGATGTCGGACTGCGTGCCTTCAAATGAACGTCAAAGAAGCGTTCTGGATAGCCATTTTCGAAAAGCGTCTGCTTGATTCGCCTCAGTTCCTCTTCAGTATGTGCTCGCTGCAGATCTTACACTCACGATTTGTCAAAGTGTGTACTAGTGTTCTCTGTATCACTGCTATGTACACTCCCCAATGGTCCCATGTGCGAGCATTGTTGCTAGTTCCACTCTCGACGGAGTCAAGGGAAAAACGCGTTGCTGGTGAAATGCGTTTCGATCTATCGACCTTTCAGGTGCTCTTTGCTCTCATTCTCTGATCACCTTAGATCCCCACTCCGTTTGTCAGTGGTCTGTGTAGTGGCTCATCTACAGATATCCCACCGCGTCCAGTCGGACAGATGCTCTTCCCCATTGGCTGTATACGCGACGAGCTGCCCTAAGGGTCACTGGATGTGAGGGTGGTTACTCCAATGCAATACATAGCTTGACCGATGGGATTGGGGCTGAGCGGCTCATTCTATCAACGTTTGTCAGCTAACAAATGGTAATACATATTTGAGTTCCTACCTACAACTGGATTTTAAAAGCCTTAAAGCGTGGGCTACCAGTGTATGAAGCAGGTATCCAAATAATGGAGTATCTGAGTCAACTGACTACTACACACCATCTTCATTTGAGATCTCAGATGAATAGAACCTCTCCCGAAGTACTTAGAAACGAACAAAGAGCGTGAACCTAATGGACGGTTTTCACATAAGTAATGTCCTGATTTAACTGGCCTGATGAAGCATTTACGTCGAAAGTAAAACGTTACTGAAGAACAGCAACCGAATATTTGCAAATCTCTCGAAAACCGTGACCTCGATCAGTTCCAAACAAGTTTCGAATTGGCCTGTTAGTTCTCGTTTCCACTGATTGTCTCTACAAAACCTCTTCACCGTTTTATCAATACGGGTACAAAATACCCACGGTGAATCAGGACATAATTTTTGTGACATTCTATAGCGAGCGAGGAAGATAACCGTGACCACTGCGACGCGACTCAAGGGACTTACAAACTCAAACGAAAAATCTATCACTAGGGGTCAAGTCATAGATGCTTCCTCATCCATCGCGTTAACGGTTGCCGTCTTTAACACAACAATGATGCCATTAATGTGGCTCTCTGCCATCCCTACACTCCGGGCTAGTTTGGTACTCTTTCTGTTGTTACTAACGACGGTACTAGTGTCGGCGGCGGCTGCGACTTTGTTTATCACCACCTCCGAATGTCTGTTGATCTCGCTCTTCAACAGTGGATAGGTCGCAGTGGGACTGATCACTGCTTTTCGAGTTCATACACACTGTTCAGGTGTGTTGCCACCACTTTTACACACTCTCGGTGCTTTTCTGTGTGCGTTCGGTCACTGACGATTCCCACTTTTGTCATCCTTTAGTGTTAGTGAAACCATCACAGTCGCCGTTAAATGACCTTGATTCAGTGCCACCACTCTGCATGATCCATGCCCAGAACTGTAGTTGTCTTAAATTTTGTCATCATGTTAGTGGTCGTGTACAAAATCAGTGGTGTTATGAACAAAGGAACTAAAAACAACTTTGATTAACTCGTAGTTGACAAAGGTATACCTGTCGCTAGAAAAGACTGAGTTCCGAGTGACAAACCGCATGTGCGAGCACCACTGATTCTTCTCTACTGCATCGGATTAGCGAGTACCACAGACCGCTCATGTAATAATAATAATAATGTGTCAGCTGTACGCCGTAACGGCGCTTCGCTGCCGCGCGACCACCACCAGTTGCGCGCGGGCTGAGTATACCGTGAGGACGCCCACCCCTACGCGGATTCGAACCGGCGACCTTATGGTTGCAAAGCAAACGTGCAGACCACTCGGCCACCGACCGACTCATGTATGACCGGCCCGTAGGATCGTCCCCAGGAAGGTGGCACGCACCTATCCAACGCAATCTCTCCCTTTGTTATGTCATCGGCTAACCTCCCCTATGATTCAACCGACTAGCTTTAACGTGTATGTACCGCCAACGCCGGGCCATGCTGCCGGTAGGCCTAGTCGGCTTGCGCAGTACGCTTTCAGCGGATCGTTCATCGCGCAACAACAAAGGTTGTAGTCAAGCACAGGCGCTGCCTCCTTTCTTGTTAGAAACCGCAAATCTCCGGGTTTTTTTATTGCTAAGAAAACTTATAGCTCCGGATATGCGGATGACGCTGTTGGATTGTTCGTCGATACGGGGGTTTTGTCTGCAAACGTTTCGCCTTCAGGCTAGATAACATCATCAGTAGAGCATCCTTGTCATTGTCCTCAGTGGTCTCATACGTTGACTGTTCCCTCGATAATCCCTGAGATGTATTTTTGAATTTTATCTCTTCCCACAGGGTAAGAACAACCAGGAGTACAAGCTTGGACTCACTCCTACTGGCATCTTGGTCTTTGAGGGAACCACCAAAATTGGACTCTTCTTTTGGTAAGCTGAATCTACTCTTTACTTCTTATTGTCGCATGGTCTCTCTGGTTTTCTTACAGTACGCCTTATGCCAATACAACCAACCATTCGATGGTTGCTTTGGCTAGTTACCTATACTACCTGAGTTCTAGTGCTCCGGCAACCATTCTTCGACGCCTCCCTGGGCGCCAACTTAGACTAGGGATGTATCGCGCACATCTTGGTTCCTCTGTGCATCGGACCTCGATTACAGTCGCACAAGTTATGGTGCCTTCGCGCACACGGCTATTCTGGACATCGGTTGCGTTCGTAGACCTCAGCAGGTGTGTGTATGCGCATACTTGGTTCATTTCCGTTAACCGACAGCAAGTCCGTAAAGCAGAATGCATCGCAGATCATGGGTGGCTATTTTCTCAGTGATTTCTGACCGATTACATACTTTCACCGCCTTCATTGCAACTCCGCTTGACCTGAAGAACAAACTTGGCTCTTCCGTTGCACGTTCTGTGGTTCATTTCACTCGTCCGCATCGCACATCGTGGGATCGTTCTCCATTGAATTCATTTTCGTTTTGTCCCCAAGCACCAGCTGCTGGCGAGAAAAGCCTCACCAGTTGAGTCACATTGCTATACGATTAGAAAGTCTTAACTAGAAAACCGATAAATGATCTACCTTGTTTTTGTAATCCATCATTGATGTGCTTACTGTTTGAGTAGAGGATAAACGGAAGTAGGGGCAGAAACACAACAAGTTCTAGTTTGGGTATTGGAGTATTTTCCGTGTGCGCGTTCTCTCTTTGGTGTACTTTTAAGTATACCACTGCTGCGCTGCTTCGCCTGTGAGACAGCGATCTTTTGTCCGCCCAACCACGCGGCCAACCAACCGATGGAAACTAAAACCCTAAGGCTCGTTAAACAGCGTATATTCTACAGAATAGGTCCTCTCTGCCTATCAGTGAGTCATACATACTAATTTTGGATAGCATGATCACCCGATCTTTGGCGTCTGACCCTTAGCCAGTGTGAGTGAATTCAGTTCCACTGGCTTGCCATATTTGACAGAATCGTTCGCCTTCGGTGTGCGACTCCGCTCAAACTCTTGACGCTGGATTGAATTCGCTGGCCAATCAATTCGCGCACTGCAGCCACTGCGCGCGGTTGCCGCCTTGTGCATAGATATTGCCTCCACTTGGGTCTTCATTTGCCAGTCATTCCGATCACTGTGAATATATCCAAAGTGGAGAGTTGCTAATTCCGGACGCTGTATTTTACTTAGCAAGTGCCTCCAACCAGACATGTTCATTGTATTTTGCAATGTTCCTACCGGATATGAGCTAAACTGTAAACATACCGATTTTCGAACGTGTAATTCTTCTCTTTATATCTGTTGATTTTCTGGGTCATGTTGGACGGATAGTAACATCATAGATTATGCTCTTCTGGTGGCCGGTGATGTCTCACCGTCGCTTTAAGTGGCGAAGTGCACTTCGTGATCTCATCTTTTAGTCCACAGGCGTTGCTGTAATTACCCAAATAACTAACTTTTTTGGACGACATTTAGCTGATCCCCACCAATAGAGCACAGGAGTGACTCCTGCCAATCTTGGAGGGATTCTTTGCATTTGGAAGATGCTGCCAACCGGCAGCATATGCTAATCTGTCCATAGTTGCTTGATACCTTTGTGAACTGTCACACACTAGGATACAATCGTGAGCATACTCTACGTCAAAAACTTGATCACCTAAGAACAGCTCCACACTTAAATCGAATCCGATGAACGCAGTCTCCGTAACGAGCCTGAGAACGAAGGGTGACACCAGCGTCCTTGTTTCGCACAGCCGGAGATGTTAAAGGTCAGTGACTGCCACTGTGTCCGTGCTACGCGTGTAAAAAGGTGTTGGATCCTCTAGATTCTCGCTATTCCGAATTAAACACACAAAATCCTCCGCAAGACTTCTAGCCCAGCCGAAAAAAAAACAACACCAACAACGTTGACCGAGAACAACTTGTTAACCAAACGCCGCTAAAACGCTGTATAAGTGTCCCAGACCTTCGTCAACTTTATAGGTCGCTTAATGGGCTCCGATTTCTAAAAAACGGTCAGCTGGTAAAATTACTAGCCTCGTTACCATTGCACCGTACGTTGGCGGTCACGTAAAGCGATGGAACATTCCTGAATCTTCAAAATAAATGCACAATCAAAGTTGCTGGAATAGTAAGTTTTCCTTGATGATTATACCTTCTCCGGGATACCTCTCCTCCTGAGACGGCTGCCGCGGTGTACGATGATAACTTGGGGTTACCTGGACGGTGTTTTATTTTCGCCGATCCATCATCTTGGCTGAAGTGCTCTGGAGTTGCGTTCCGTGCTCTGCACTCTGGTATCATTCTTTGGCTGACAGCGTGCTTCCACGGGCTCTCTTACGCAAGTTGAAACTGTCTGCCAACAGGTCAATGGGAGCTCGGCAGATTCTGTTGCCTCCGACTGACACAGCGTTGCTCGCGGCTTGTTTGCTTCTCATCCACCGTTGCCCCGTCGCTTCACCGATGCACATTGTATTTTCTGAACCTATATACTCTTCGAAGTTGTGATTTCTTCCCTTACAGTACCTGCTAAGCCTATGCTTTTTTTTACCATCGTAAACTATTGTTTCATTGTTCCTGATTGACATCGTCTCTCACCTGACTATTATGTAGCTGATTCGACCCGGTATTTGATTCTGCTAAAGAAGCATCGTCAGACTTATCAACTCTGCCCATATCCACTCCATTCACACTGGTTTCCTCTTGTCCATTTTATCCCGTATTGGCTTTCCTCTTTTTTCATTTCACTCATTTACTCTGCATCATTCAGGCCAAATGTGTTGAAGATCGAGATGAAAGGGAACCGGTTAAAAATTTTGGTCACCGAGGAGGACGAAGCTTCCGTGAGTTTATTACTCTGTGTTTGCTCTGTTCCTGTTTGTCGCCCATCAATCCGCGTTTTGACCATCTAGTCCTAAGTTGAGAGATGCAACTTTCGAACATGTGTTGGATACCGGTTTCTCCTTTGTTAGGTGTTGAATAACTCTCATTTCCTGTCCAGCCTGTACCCTAAAAGTAACAAGCTTGGCTTGTAATCTGACGGCGCGGGTTCGAGCCTGTGTAGGGGCAGGTCGACCCTCGCAGTATCCTTAGCCCAACTGCAATTGGTGGTGGTTGCGCAGCACCGAAGCGTCGGTAATGCGTGCCGGTGTACTACTGATGTCTTTTGCCTGTCACTTACCTTATTCAACTTGTCCTGTGAAGCTCATTGTACTTAGTCGCTTCTCTTGTTCATCCATCTTCTCATCTTCGTACTTACAAGGCACCTTTTATATCCCAATCGTTACTACTCTCCCTCGAATGTGTCAACAGCGTGCAACACAGCCGATCGCTTCAGTGAGTCTACTTCGACTTCCACGGGACCCGACTATCTTCCGCCTCTTTATGGTTGCGCTCCATTTAATCAGGTTACCAAACTGTCAATAATGCATCTGTGCGCAGGTCTGCTCGTTCCATAATGTATCCTTTTCGACGAATGGGGGTACTCTGATGTACTACTGGCGAGTAGTTGTTCATCGGCAATATGCTGATTAAATAATGAACGCCGATTACATCGTCATCACGTGTAACATATGAGCTTCTCATGAGTGACCGATTTTTACACCGATGGACATCCCAACGAGACAAGTTTCGGGCACAGATCGATCACTCCAGACTGTTTCGGGTTTAGCTTTACATACCCAATATTGCGGTATGATGTTTTGGGAATTTATTTGCTCTGCACGCGAACGGCATTTGCGATCAGGAAAATGTGCTCAGTGTATTTGTTCAGGCCAGCTCGGATAATTTTCTGAGTGCCTGATCTCCGTCCAAAATTTGTCCTTGTGAGACACCCACTGGCACACAAATTTGTAACTCATGCGTAGTCCATCGATCACCGCCCTGTGTACGCCTATCGTTCGCACGTGCTACGTGGGTATGAACCACCCGGGAAGCAAATTTCGAGAAAGGCGTGCTGAACTTTAAGTTCATGGGATTTTCCAAAGGTAAATTGGAGCTGAATTCCTTGGGATGGAACCGGGTAACTATACTTATTTGCGCCTTCGTGATGAAATCTACCTACAGTTACACTACGCTTGGCAGATGACTTTCCGCTCAGCCCGTCGTGAGCCATTGCAATGCTGTACGTAGGCCTAACTCTTGTCGGACCGTTGCGTTACCCTAAGCTCTAAATAAACAAAAATTCAACCTTTTTCCATAAATTCAATAGGATTATCGTATTGATCGATCAAAAGAATTTTCTCGGAACAGACAGTACTATTATTGGCATGCTAAGAACAGGGGGCACTGAATGTCATCAAGAACCCATAAATAATGGTACTCTGCGTCATTCTGACTGTCCCCTGTTTTTCAACTTTATACTGGTACCCGGAATTTTGGGTCCTTGATCAGCAAATCGGAGTGATCAGGATTTCGAACAACCATTCAAAGCGGCACGGTGTCACTTTGGTGACCACATCATCACCACCACCATCATCATCAAAACACCTTAGCTGATGGTAGCAAACACACTTAAGCTAATGTGCCGCCATACAAGGAAAGAAAATATCTATGGAAAAACACGATGCAAAACATTACAGAATACCTTATAAAACCAAAAAGTAATATAATGCCTGGTGTCATTAAGCACCACATGTGAGAACGCTGTTGGATGGGTAAGATAAGCTGGAGGCGGACAAAGAAACACAAAACTTAAACGCCATTAAGGCCGTGTCTCCACCATGTCAGCCAGTATATGCAATTAAACATGTTCATCATTCTTCGGACCCTAGCGTAGAAGTCGAGATGCACCAATAGACACCAACTTCGAAATGTGAGGGTTTTCCTTCCTCTCGACCAAGTCATCGCTTAGTCTCCCTTCTTCTATCCAGGTCCCGATCGCGCAAACAACACACGTCGCGGGTGTCGGTGTGCTGGCATGCACAACATGTGTCCCAGACAGCGGTGCCTGGTGCATGATATAATGGTGTTGAGCGGTTCACTCGCTCTTCCTGCACCAAATACGCAACGCCGAACACGCTCATTGCTCATGCGGTGTTCCCACCAGAGATGAGCTACATTGCGAAGGCAGCGATGATCGAGCGTAACTAGCCATTTTATATCTATCCATCCGATGGGCAGTTTTCGGATCCGTACAGGGGGGTTGAACGGACGCCTACATTATAAAGTGACCATAGCAGTTCCATTATGGCTAGTTTTCTGCCATCTTGAAGTTGTGAACTACCATCAATCGGTTACTTGTATGTTTGACCCTTTTCTTCTGTTAGTTTCATCGAGGCGTACCATTTTTATGCCTTTTCACCTTAGTTTTTTTGGTCCCAATTTCTCGATACTGTTTCAATGATGTCCATGCCGTCGCCTTCCAACTGGGCAGTTGTTTTCCTATCGCACTTCTTCAGCAGGGAATCCAATCCTTCTTCGTGTTACGCACATACAGGTGTGTCTTCCTCGTGCGCTATAACGTGAAACACCTTGTTCTCCTTCGCTCTTGTCTCACCTATTTTGTGTTCAATGGCTCGCTCGAATTGCTCCGCGTCGTCCTCATGATATCCTGATTATCATTTTTCACTCTGTCTCAGTTAGCTTGTACTTTTTTCACCGCGAGTCATTCATTGGGCGCAATTCTCTCACCAACATGTGCTGTGCACAGTATGGCACACGAGCACATCCTATTCGACGAACATGTAACTTTGGTCCGTCGGCTTTTATTTACGTGTGTCTGCTCGCGGGCACTTGTCACGTGCGAATTATTTGGGGCCGCTTCGAGCTCAGTCTGGTCTTCGACGTTTTAAAGCTCAGCATAACTAATTTCAACCCGCGTCACGTCTCTCTCCGGTTATCTCTGAAGATGCGCTCCATCAGTTGCGCGATTCGGTGCTTCAAGGTCATTGCATCAGATGAGCGCCTTTTCGCTCTGTTCACCTTTGTCCGTTTGTTACGTGTGTGTGTGCGCTTGCATGATAGCTGAGCGCCTACGAAACACCCATCTCTGCTGACTGAACACGGCCTAAAACAAACGTGGTGACGTGTTTTCTAGCTTTGAAGTTAGTGAGTCCATCTGGCTACATGCTTCACCGAGTGGTTTGCAAACTCAAACCGCTATCGTATAATTGGGACGATACACAACCAGATTTCGCTAGCACGGAAATAGCCGATCGGTGTACTACTTACCTGAGTAGCGATAACACATGTGGCGCGTGCATCAAAGACGAAGTTACCGCGCACACTACCAAGGCCTACATGACTTTTGGAAGCTTCTGCCATTTATAGAGGCAGTGGGATATAAACGTAGTAGTAGGATTAGACGCTTGAGCGTTACAAGGTGAAGAAATTAAAAGATTGACTGTGTCTGATTACCAATGCATGCAGCTAGTGGAGTTACTGAACCAGTCCCGCCACTCAATGCTTGGGCACAGATCCTCGATGGCATCGCATTGTGATATATATATATATATATATATATATATATATATATATATATATGGCTGGTGGCATCCGATTTCGGATTTCCCTGTCATTGTGACCAGCCACAGCACTCATGCGCCTACAGAGGGACCATGAGTGACTTGCGCCGCACCACCCACAGCTCCATCCACACACACCCCATATCCAGTGTAAACCCGAAGGAATAAGACCGGGAGGCATGTGGATGGGAGCCACGTTTCATCAACGGAGCCGGCCCACACTCCTTCACAGGCAAACACAAGCACGCTGTATTTGGGAATCAAGCGCACACAAGGCGGTGGCTGGACCGTAGTCTGCTCCATAATGAGTGCATGGGACCACTATTTGGTCCTAACACGGTCACAAGGACCGTGCACCCCGTCCCCTCCAGCAACGACCAACTGTCTCCTGGAGCCAGTATGGACGGGGTAGTGGGTAATAGACAGGTAGGCACCTTGTCAACATGCACATCAAGCGCAGCCACACGGGGGATATTAAGCAACAGCCAATCACTTGAAACGACAAGATGAAATAAAATCAATCGGATAATGCATACAGATACGGAGACATAACTCTTCACTAAATAAGCGTATAAAATAAATTGTCCACGAACGAATCCGCGAGAAGTAAAGGAGGTTAGAAAACACAGTTTAAGAAAATGCCATATTCGCGAAAATGTTATCAAATTAACTACACTAGCTTCAGCAATGTGTGCAAGTTTATGGAAGTAGTACAGGTAGAGATTAATATGAGAAAGAAAAGTATTAGGACAAAATTAAAAACCCACCACCTGAAATAAAGAGACTCAACATGCACGCACACGGTTAGCAAATCGAAGGCAGTGCACCTACAAACGCTGCGCCGGTTCTTTGTATGTTCTCTGCAGGACCCGTCGTCTCTTCGGTGATAGTCCCGTGGGGCCTCGCTCATGACTCACTAGAACTGCCTGACTCAGCCACTCTCGACCGCATGTGCTACAGCACCATGCGCTCAATGTCGATGGAGTACAACCCAACGGCGCTTGCCGCTTCTCTGCAAGCATGAGGTCTTTCTTCCGCACATCAGCAACAGCCTTCGTGATCAGATCGCGCCGTGCACGTCGATCAACCACCTTCGATTCCCATGACGTGCACTCAAGATTAGAACGTGAAAGCCTCACTTTATCATGTCATGATAACGTAACTTTGGTTTCCCCACATGCTGCTTCCCAATACTCAGCTGACCGTCTAAGAGTTGTTTCGGTATCCGCGTCGAATCCATACGGCTCACATGACCGAGCCACCTCAGGTGTCTCGGCAGAAGTATGCAGTCCACTGCATACATTCCACTTCGACGCAACACTTCCATGTCCGCAACTCTGTCGCACCAACTAATGCGCAGAGTCCGTCGCAAACACTGT